TTTCGTACGGATATGTTTGGTATTTCTTGAGTTATCGTGCTCACAGACAAACAAACACACACACACACACACACACACACACACACACACACACACACACACACACACACACACACACACACTATATAATGGCATATTGAGTGTTTATATGTGAACAGCCAAAACAGGAACATCCATGTTGAGATATTTAAAACAGTTCAAATATAATAAATTTTGTAAAATTGTGATATTTATAATACGACAAATATGCCTATATACCTACAGTATTTATTATAAATATCAACATTTATAAACACAGTACACAGATCCCAAACATTCCCTTGTGAAATTACTGAAATAGCTGACAAACCTTTTAATTTCGACGGCTTTGAGGCTCAGTGAGTTTGAGTGAACCACCAAAGATCGTAAAATATTTCCATACAATGCGAGATATAATGTCCATTAATACTCCCGCCATTATATAACAATTCGACCCTAAAATTTATCACTGACTGTTCTGATTGCGGGCGAAATGCATCAGTCAAAAGCGCATTATTTTGATCGCGGGCTAAACGCATCAGTCAGAATCCATTTCCCAATGTTACGTAGGCATGAAAACAATGGTTTTCGTGACGTGTCGTTGGGAAAACTCGGCCAAAAGACTCGGGACCGATGCGCCACTGATGCACTTTTCCCCCAACGTGACGTAGTGATGCACTGGCGGCCCCAACGTGACGTAGTGATGCATACACTGGGCTGTAATAAAAGTGGATGCGTCAAACTAAACACCGACATATGTGGCGAAATAAAGTCGCGACACAAATTCGTACAACTTGATAAGTGCGAAATTTGATATGCGTTTACGTTTTTCATAATATTTTGTGAAATATAGCTGTGTTTACATTCATACCCTTTGAAAATATATTGTTTTAAAGGACTTTGGATCAAAGACAAACAATATTTAAATATATTTTAATAAAATGTTGACAATTCTCGTTCGTATGAAAATTTTGACTGATGCACTCGCACCAGTTGCATCAGTCTGGATCCGCGCCTGACCATTCCCTTGTTTAGTTCGAAGCCATCTCCCTGTAGCAGAGGGGTAAGAAGGAGTAGTTTTACACACACATGACAGGTTGTCCCCTTCGTATACCGTCATGTCATTGCAATCGATTAAGACAAGAGGTTTATCTTGAACAAATATTTCAAACGAATATACTCTTCTGCTTTTTTTGCAAAACAATTCCAAGATATATTTACCACTGTCCTCAAGTGTGATTTTTCTGAAATGCAAGTCAGCTCTGTCAGGAGTCGAATAGATACGGTGAGGTCCAGTGCAGTTGAGATCATCGGATCCAGTACAGGTTTTAAGAGTTAGTTGCTTGCCGTCTTTTCTCCATGTATAATTCTTGTTGTAATTATGAAGAACGTCAATAATAAAATATTTTCCTACCTCGGGATAATACGCTGGAAAATAAGGAATTCTCTCGTCACAAGAGCATTGAATTAAAGATGTCATTTTAGTTAGTATTATGATAACACCAACAAGCTTATTCCACAAACAGACCATCTTTAATTGTTCTTATCAATCGCTGTAACGGACAAATGAAATAAAAATCTGTTAAGGCATTATTTTTAGTAAAAATGTTATAGTGGACAGCTGTTCCATTTTTGGGCGAAATATAAGAGCCACTATTTATTATTTCATTATTACTACAAGAGGGAACTTTACATGTTTAACTGGATAGCTCTATCAGTTCTGAACTGTTCTCCCTACAGGTCCAGTAAGGATCATCTCTTATTGATCCAGTGTTAGTACAGGAAGAAACCTAAACTAAACTAACTTTATTTTTACTGGATAGTTCTATCAGTTCTAAACTGTTCTCCCTAGACGTCCAGTAAGGATCATGTCTTATTGAACCAGTGTTAGTACAGGAAGAAACCTTTATTTATACTAGATAGCTCTATCAGATCTAACCTGTTCTCTCCAGAAGTCCATAAGGATCATCTTTTATTGATCGAGTAAATATATAGCACATAAAACGTTTTAAGTTATATATAGAAGATAGATTTATACCCTATTTTTAATACAAATTTCCCCATTGTTTGCATGAATACCACTAAAGATGAATGAGTCGTTTATATATACAACTGCAGGCGAACGCACGAAAGTAAAATTTAAACCCTTAGAATCAAGCGTGTGGCTCGTAGCCAAGCTAATGCATGCTTGCAAAGCTCTGCTATTGATATATACAGTATATTGGCTTACAAACATAATATAATATAGAGATGCTAAGATTGATGTTCATGGAAAACCGCAAATTTCAAATCGCTTTTAAAATTAAGTTCTGGCAAATTCATGCTTCGATTTAACAGTTTAGCGCACAAATTGTCCTAACTTCGAACAGTTATCCTCAAAATAGAATTTGACGTTTCCCGTTGGCCGTAATTACCTGCTTATTAAAAGAAGTAAACTTCAGGTCTAAACTTTTTTCCCTGGTGGTCCAGCAAGGGTCATCTCTGATATTGATTCAGGATTACCACAGTAGGAAACCTAAACTAATTTTATTGATATTGCTTGGATAGCTCTATCATTTCTAAATTAGTATGATGAATGCGTCAGTGTTATAACAGCCACTCGCCTGCGGCTCGTGTTAGTACATCTTATATAATACTGCCGTTCATGCGGTATTTCTTATATACAAACTTGCATAAGCTTCATATTATCTCTTATTCATATTATCATACTACGAAAATGAAATGTATATAGTACTTATATATGTCATTTATACACACAGTAATTTTAATTTAAATGCCATACTTAAACGCAACGGGGTTATTTTTATGTTTAATTCTTCAAAAAAAGTCGAGCGAGGATGGAATCCATTTATTTTATCAACCTCATATTCATATTTACTGTGAACGTATTCTTCTTTTTCTCAGGAATATGTCCAAATTCCTTGGTCATACTCAGTATCTGGAGGTCTGTACAACTTCAAACGAAATTATGTTATTTCATCATGATAATGCTTTTGTCCTGTTGCGATTTGCTTGCGGTTTTAACTAATAATCCATTGATGGCCCTTACAGCGAGGTTGTGGTTGAAGAGAAACTTAGATGGAAATGCTAGATGGCCTCATATTGCCTTAAGATTGACAAACATTTTCCTTGGTTTTTCATTATTCGCTCTTTTGGCGATGAATTTCGATCGATATTTGGCGACATCTTATCCTATCTTTCATCGAACATCGGTAACGAAGGGAAGACTTTTAACTCTTCTTGCAATACTGAACATCCTCGAAGTAATTTTGGCAGTGAAATCTGTAAACGACTTTGTTATTTCCCACCAAGTACATATTCACATTATTGACATTCTTTTTATTCCTGCGATGTTATTTATCAACTACAAACTATTTCTAGTCGTCAGGAAAAGTCGTAAAAACAAAAGAATATCGCCCGATATAAAAAATACCTTTCTTTGAAAAATATATCGAGTTGTTTCCTAGCAGCCGCTTGTGTTGTGGTGGTATCCATCCAGTGGGTGTCTACATTGGATTAAGAATAAACTCGCCAGACACAACATATACTTTGGGTAATGCAACCCTCGCAGCGATGTGGGCTAGAACCATATCTTTGATGATTTGTACATTTAACTGTTTAATCTTTTACTGGAAAAACAAGGTGTTACGTACCGAAGGATGGAAAGTCCTGAACAGCCTGAAAATATGTCGACAGGTTGAATACTAGCAGCACTAATAACCCTTCTTCAAAAAAAATTAAGTCTAGTAGGAAACTCTATCTCTTTAGGATTTTAGTTTGTCTTTGCACTGTTTTCTTGTGGCTTATCTAACAATATTTTGGTCATAGTAAATGTGAACACACCGAACTGTACACTTATATTGTTCTATAAATTAATACGCATATCATTATCACTATAAAAAAGACAGTAGCTGTAACTAGGGTATATATAGCACTGTTATGCTTGTAATTTCATCCAATCTTGAAGATGACTAAAATATAGTCGAATAAAACGTAGAAAAATAAAAATGCTTTCATTTCTTTATATTATTTCATTATATACAGGGTGTATAAAACAATTTGCCATGTTATTGTGCGTTAAGTATTGGGTATATGTAGATTTAATTTTCCCATCCTAATAAAGATTAAGTCTTTAACTATCGAATGAGACATATTTGTATCATTGCGTTAAAAACTGAACGATTTAAAATGGCCGATTTTTCAGCCACTCCATGATTACAGCGACCTGTATTTGCGCAAATGTTTGAAAATTCTGAGAATATTTTGCGGCAGCAGAGATAGACATATTTGTTTTAGATCGGTAATTTCAAGTCGTTCCTATTTGGTCATTTTTATTCGCAATGAAATATCATCAAATGATCTTGGAAAATATATTCGAGCGTTTCAAACTCGTGAAATTACAAAATTAAATAAACACATTTTAGAGAGAATCTAAAATCCAGAAAATTTCTCACTTTCGACAAAAATATACATTTGTATAAAATGATTTTAAAATGTTCATTTCTCCTCTCAACGGCTTCTCGTTCGTGGCATATCATGTAAGCTGGGGACAGGTGAGAAAGGCTAAAATTATGAAAATAAGTCAACAGTCGAACATGTATATATCGAGCATCTCTTGTTTCCCTGTCAGCAAGTAGACTTAAAATATCAAACGTATTAGTACGAAAATGAATGCGACTATTGAACATCACCCAAGGACAAATTAACTAAATTTTTGTTAAATGTGGATAAAAAGTGGATGAGAAAATGGAAAAATTCGTTTTGCTTAAATTCGCTCGAGTAAAATTGAATGCGTAATAGTAATTTATGCCTGATATACGTACCTTAATTCGCTGACGGACATGTGCCGTCTCTGCGTGCCCTCTACAGTTCTGTAATAATGTCGGGGGGGGGGGGAGATGTGTTTGTTGGGAAAATGCTCCTCTTGTGCGCTCTCTTGTCCGCTGCTTTCCATATTGAAAATAGACGCACTTTGGTAGGTAGTGATTCTAATTGATTCTGGGCAAGGATTGCCGAAAAAAATGTGATCGAGATTGACCATTAATTGAGACCTTTATTGACCGGCCAATGAATAGAGTTATAAAAAGGTTGAGTTGACGCCATATTGCGTGGTTTTAAGCACGGGTGAGAGAAGGATGAGAGAATATGAGAGTTGACAGTCACGCGACCTTGATTAGCTTTTCTTAATGCTTTCCCAACACTACACTGTTACAGTCAAAATACAAAAACGTTCCCACTTTGGCTTCTGTAGCTTTGTTTTGTATTTCTGTAATTTGTTCTATTTTTTCTGTAGCTATAGTGATTTAATACCGCTTTATCAGCAAATATCGCGGTAGAATTTCACTTTCTTTTCTTTTCTTTATATACGTCAATTTGTTGCAAAGAATACACCTTTCGTTAGATTATTTGCATAAAAGTTGCGAAATTAGGCTTATAGCTATATTTGCTGATAAAGGCAAAAAGGGTTTCTTGCAGTGAAATTGATGGAGCAAAGGTCGGCACTGATTACGTAATGACAATTTGCAAATATATCGAGTCTACTACAAATCTATTTTTAGTTATATTATGAAATAAATATAAAACATTTATTATGTGTGACCCATACAGTTATAGAAACACTTGTAGTAGTTTAAGAGAACTCGAATAATGTGGAAAAACTCGCCCTAAGTTAAGCCAGTGGCGTAGCCAGCTCGATAATTGGGGGGGACATATTCATATATTCATGTTCTACATTATTATTTTCTTTTGAAATTCATTGTCTTTACGATCTGTGAATACAAATATATGAATATGCCCCCTCCCCCCACTTACAGAGCTGGCTACGCCACTGCCCTAATCCTATAGCTCTCGTTTTCCCACACATTATATCCTGGCATTATGCTATGTTTGTAGTAATAAGGCTTTTCAAAAAGCAGTTGAAATTATTAATAACCGCAAACCTGAAGACGCTCAGAAATGCCAAGATTGTATGTGATAAACCTTTTTTTCTTATTATGAAATGTCACTCGCCCCGGGTTTCGAAGTGAAGCAGCGGAAATTATTAAGTACGGCTCATGAAAAGCACGTCTGTCTAAATCAAAATTGGAAGTACGCCTATTTTACTCGAGTAAAATATGAATTAAGTTCGGCTCATGAAAAGCACGGCTATAAGAAAGACAGTAGCTGTAGGCTATCTAGGGTTTATAAGGCCCTGTTATGCTTGTTATTTCATCCATTCTTGAAGATGAGTAGAATATAGTCGAATAAAGCGTAGAAAAATAAAAATGCTTTCATTTTTTAAAATTATATACAGGGTGTATAAAAAATTTCCCATGTTATTGTGCGTTAAGTATTGAATATGTAGATTTAATTTTCCCATCCTAATAAAGATTAGGCTTTTAGACTTTTTGTCTCATTGCCTTAAAAACTGGTCTAATTCCAAAGAATTTCTCCTTGGAGGTTTATCAAACTAAAATCTCTTCATTTTAGCATTATTTTACAGATAGAGCACTAAATATACTTGATAAGTTTGTTAGCCGATTGGAAAAGGAATCATTGAAAATGTTTTATTGAAATCAATTGGTATATCTTACTTGTTACTTTAGAGCGCATGTTAGAAACATACAAAACTTAACAAACAAAAGTTTGTTATAATTAATTATTAATTAATACGATTCATTTCTGAAAGTATTTGAATGACTGTGTAAGAAAGCTGCTACAATATTTTTGCAAGCATGAAAAGATTGGTAGGCTATAAAGAATTAACATTTCCAGCTTCAAAAGGCGGTGATATGTTGGCAACCTAATTCATGGTGATTTACATAAACATTAAGTTCAATTTTCTCATCAAGACGTTTCACAAGCCATTTACAACATTCGTGTCCGTGTTGTATCGGATATAGAAACTCTCATCTTTGGTTTGATTTTGGCGCGGCTGCTCATGTTGTAAATAAATAGTACATAAAACATTAGACTGATCTTTACCTCAAGTTGGCCAACTTTCTCCTTAGTAAGTTCGTCACTCCCAGCTTTGATTTCTTCATGAATTCCATGAAGAGCTTTCTCTTTGCCATCAATAAACTCAGTCGCTGTTACTTCATGTTGTCTGAACTCTCGCCAGTTTGCTATCACGGTATTCAGATACACTGTTCTCTTCGTTGCCCAGGCGAGCACCGCTGACCAGCGAGTTTGAAGTTCACGAATCTTTATGATAGTTTGTTTGTTGAGGTCACTCATGTTCTCCGAGTCTTTGACAAACTCCGACATTTCGTTGCGTTTGAGTTCCTCTAGAAAACCCTGAAGGCGAAAAATTTGCATAAGCATAATTTAATATCTTGGCCCTGCAAATCATCACAAAAAATCTTATTTTCTTTCCAAAAGATATTAGCGCTACACGGCTTAAAACGCACAGGTTGTTCCAAGCTGATATCGATAGATGTGAACAATGTTGTGCGGCCAACTATAAACAAGTTGTCAACCATGTTGATCCAAGTTGTTACAGTTGAACAATGCTGTAACAACATGTTGACAATACTGTTTATAGTGGGCCGCCAACCTTGTTCACGCTCGTTGATATCAACCTGGAACAAGATGTTGATTTTCTCAATTTTTGCGCGTGTACAAGCGGTTTAAGTGCACGTGTCTTTTTATCTCTGTGGCTAGGGTTTGGTTCCAATATCATATTGCAGAAATCAAATCTCAGTCATAGAGATGAAAGACACACACAAAACCACTCCTTATTTTCAGGTCTCTGCCACACTAAATGTCTTAAATTTTCACGGTACCATTCCACGATCCGGGCTTACGGATCGAAAGCTTTGCAGTAATAAATTGACGTGGTGTTTCCACAAACAAAACTATTATAGTACATTTCCAACCTATCAGATCGTAAATAAGAACAATAACTTACATCATGAGCGTTTTTGAGCTGTAGAAATCCTTCAAGGTCTTGAACATCCTCCGCAGGAGGTAACGTCATCTTCGCTTCATTCTTTGTGATCCAAGCATCACGACGTTCAACCTCGCTTTCGATCAGAACCAAAAACTCGCGATTCATTCTGAAACAAAACACAACTTTTATAATGGGTGCATAACATGGTTAAACTAGGCTAGTATTCCAAAGGTCGTAGGTTCGATTTCCACCGTGGCCGGGCATACACTCAGAGTAACATCACAAACATGATATGGTTAAACGTAGATTAATTGATGTTAGTATAATTACATAGGTGATTATTGAAAATTCTCCACGCTGATTGGTTACCGTTGAGGTGATTATCACGCGATAATCACCTAAGCGATTTTTAAAATGGCGGCCGAAGCCGTTTTGTCAATTAAAAGACGAATAAATGTGCATTTTTAAATTTTTTTCGAAATAATCACCTATGAAATTATACTAAAACAATTATTCACCTCAGGCTCGGTGATTATCGTGAATAAGAACCTCGACTTCGTCTCAGTTTTTATTCACCGATAATCACCTCGCCTTCGGCGAATAATTGTTAATTAATGGCAAGTATGTTTGAGGGTTTATTAAAAAAGAAGGAGGAGGGTTTATTGATTAAACAGAAACGTAGAAAGCAAGATAGACAGTACATCAACGTGAACACCCTCTCCCAATGAATGTGTTTCAGTACACATGTGATTCTTAGTGAGGAGAAAGGGAGTGGTTATTAGAAAAAGTGATCATCATAAATTTCTTCTGAAGTGGGACTATTGGAGAATGGGTTTGATTGAGAACTTTCAAACAATATTACTAATCACCATTATTTACGGTGATTGATTATAATGATTATTTATTTATTATGGACACAGCATTTATGATTATTCAACCAAATAAAATTACATTGCTGTCGCTACTTTACTTAAGGTTACAGGACACCCTTTTTGGCGTTTTGTGGAAAATCGCTACTGCGCGCTCAAAATCAGTTCGATTTTCATCAAATTTTCACCAAATGTTAGCCAATGCATGCGAAATATTATAAAGTTGTAAAATTGACAAACAATAAAATAATGTAAGAATTATTCAGGAAAATCTTAAGTCGCGTTACCTTTACGCTTTTCAGATATGTTCCTGCTGGTTTTAAGATATATTTATAAAAATATCATTTTTATAAAGTAAAATAGTTGTTCTAAAAAATATTGTTCGGAAATTTTTGTTTATTTCGTCATTCCGCTGATACGGCGATTTCTTTGACAACTGCAATATATTTCTGAATCGTTCGTGTGAATTGCTCCTTATTATTAAAATATACAAAATTAGAACAAAGCCGAACACAATTTAGCTATGTCCTGTGAAAATTTGAGAAAAATTCATTGAAACCCGCAGGAGCACAACTCGTTTGAAAATCAGTAATTACCGTAAAATTCTTCGGGAGAAAATTGAATTTGAATATTACATTTTCAATGTTTTTCTTATTGCAAGTGAAATGCATTTTATTAAATATATAACTCTGCGAGTTTTCAACATTTTTCGTCCAAACTTGGTCAGATAGTAGAACTAGTCTAATACTTTTATGGAATCCAATAAAAAATTTTTAGGCAAAATTAACACTCAAAGGTGTCCTGTAACCTTAAAACGTCCAGACTTAATGAAGACCCACTACAGTTGACTCTTTGTCGTGTTCCTGAGACTGCTTCATTGTATCCCTATTTGACTTTGCAGGAGACCAATATTTAAGACGTGTGGACTGGTCTACTGAAAGTGTGTTTACGGCGTTTTACCGAAGTGACTCAATAGCTTACGAACAGTGTTTTTCTAGCGCGGTACTAACTTCTTAGTTTTGTGCAAATATATGTTATCATTACAATGTTTGTGTTGCTTTGAACATGCATAATGAATACTGCAGTGCGAAACATGGTATGAAGGAGAATGAAAATTATACAAAGGTACTAACCTAACCTGCTGTGTAATTGAGGTTCTCCGAATACCATGTTGAGCACGGAGGGATTTATTTTTGATCTTTATATTTGTAGTATATACTTCTTGCATGGCTCGCCCGGTGCCACAAACATTGTATTTATTAGAGTACGTTTCGGAAAGACTGGCGCACGAAGGCAGCTTGGGCGGTTGTCTATCTATGGTGAATGAGCATAAGAATGGCTTTAAAGTGTGGTGAACTGGAAACTAGTGTAGAAAATGCATAATGAATCCTCCGTGCTCAACATGGTGTTCGGAGAACCTCAATTACTCTGCGGGTAAGTAACTTTATATAATATTCATTATTGTGGTAGTTGTATCTACATATATACATGCTTGTTAGGGGGTTTGTATATAGATACATCCTGACTAGGAGGAATGTATCTAGATATAACCCTACTAAAAAGGATGTATGTAGATACTGTAATGATTATGTTAATATATTTATATTATTGCCTGCATGCCAGGCAATACGCCAGGGGGCCTGAGACTATAAAGAAGCATGTTGTTTTGTTTAACTGTAACACAATTTAGTATTGCTGTGTTGGGCCTGTTTGTTTTGCTTTATTAAATATATTTTACTTTTCTTGGCCATGTCTCTTGATCACAACATGGTGTCAGGAGTAATTTAAACAATTAAATTGTCGTTAAGTTCCGCATTTGATTATATATAAGCTCTAAAGGCCTGAAAGGCAAACCGAAATGGACAAATTTGAGCCGCCATCTTGTTGAAGGTTCGAAGGCAACCTTAGTGAAAATTGGCAGAAGTGGCGCCAAGAACTAGAACTCTATCTTACTGCAACTGAGAAGGATGGAAAATCTGACAAAATGAAGACATCAATACTTCTCACGTGCATCGGAAAGCAAGGTAGAGAAATATATAATACGTTTCAGTTCGACGAAGGAGAGGAAATGGAATTCAATGTCGTAGTACAAATGTTTCAAGATTACTGTAGTCCAAGAAAGAACATTACATTTATGGGCCACAAATTCTTTACATGTAAGCAGAGGGATGGTCAATCTTTTGATGAGTTCGTTACTGATCTATAAAAACGTAGTGCTGAGTGTGAGTTTGAAACACTTCGCGAAAGCCTCATCCGTGACATTATAATATGTGGAATTAATGACAACCGTCTTCGTGAACGTCTTCTTAGAGAGCCAGAATTAACATTGCAGAAAAGTATACAAATGTGGGCGTGGTTTCGAACCAAACTCCTGACACCATGTTGTGATCAAGAGACATGACCAAGAAAAGTAAAATATATTTAATAAAGCAAAATAAACAGGCCCAATACAGCAATACTACCAAACTCGTTCTGGTAGAGTTGTAAAGCCACCTACTGATCTGCGAGACTTTGTGAGATCATAATTTTGAACTGAGTCATAGTATAAACAATTATTTTTATATTGACTAGAACTTACTATTGAACCTGACTTTTTCTATTTTCAAACCTTTAGTTAAAAAGGGGGTTGTAATGATTATGTTAATTTATTTATATTATTGCCTGCATTCGTGGCAATACGCCTGGAGGCCTGAGACTATAAAGAAGCATGCTGTTTTGTTTAACTGTAACACAATTTAGTTTTGTTGTATTGGGCCTGTTTGTTTTGCTTTATAAAATATATTTTACTTTTCTTGGTCATGTCTCTTGATCACAACAGATACAACCCTGGGATCAATCAATTATCAGCCTCGCTCCTCCCTGCTTGATATCACATCTCTCGTCGTGCTTTTAAACCTAATGAACCGGTAATTATTCTAAATACAGTTTTATCAATAGCAATGAAAACTGACTCAATCATGTAGTAAGTGAATATGACCACCCACGGTGTGCATATGATTACCGACAAATACTTTCTACATCATGAAGTTCTACTTTCATATTTCATTTTATTCTGATTATCTACTCTTATCAAGGCTGTTATTATGTAGTAATGACCAGGTTGTGCACTATACTTGAATGTCCTCTCCTCCATCCTAACCCCAACATCGCAGTTTTTCCAGTGTATGATATCCTTTCTCTCCTTGGCCACCTGTATCACCAAATCTCAGCTCAGTAACAGGAAGCGTATTCTTGTCTGTCAGGTACCCACTATCTTCACGCCATGTGTAGTCATTGACGTCACAATTACATTTTCCCCCACCTGCGCATGTGTCGATCATTCCACATGCACATTCACTGCTGTTAACTGCGGCTCCACCCCAGTAATTCATCTTCGAACCTTGACGCGATATCCACCAACTATAATGACCTCCAGCGTTTCGAAAGGAGCTTCCACGACATTCATATTTTATAAACTGCTCACAATTCTTGGACAGATTCGTAATTGCAATAATATGTTCCATTGAAATGATATATTTGATGTTCCGTATGTAAGAACCTGGCTCTCGTATCCGACCACGAGTGTTCGCGATTCATGGTCGTGTCCAATCTCTGTCACACCAACACCATCCTTCGAAGTCATGTTACAGTACACTTGAACTAATGGATATGAACTTAGTCCTTGGGGATTAATGTAATACATTCCACTGCGAGTTGAAGAATCTCTTATTGACAATGCTGAACAAGAAGCCGCGGTGAGGTTGACAATATCTGGAAAACATACAGGAGCAGTCATTATTAAGGTATTTTACCACTGTTGACAAAATTGCTCATATTCTACTCCGAATATATCATGATCCACCTTTAAGGTTAATGTTTATTTTCTAAGCCCCCCTTTCCCACGTCCCCACTCAATGCGCGAAGTATTGCCCCTCGTGCATGAGAAGGTAGCCCATGCGTATGTCATCCCCGAGCTGACGGCGCGAAGCGCCTTGCGAGGGTACTAATTCCACCCGGCTATTTACACCCGGGGAAAGGAACGCACTAGCGAAGTCTAAACTTCATCAAATATCGTGGGCGCATGGCTCACCGTTCATGGGTGGTCATCCTCACCGAACTCAAAATATGTAGCGGACTGTCGTGAATAGTGAGCACTGATTGGTCAAATTTGAAATTTGCATTAAAACGACTGCATTGACGAGAACGATATAACAAACATTTCTTGGAAGTTGTATTTTTGCAAGATTTTGTAAATTTCAAAACCTTTCTGAGAGCCGAAAAAAAATTCTAAAAACGTCTAAAAAAATAGAGCAAAGTCGCCGGCGTTAATGAAGATAAGTTTGTTTTTAATATTGAATCCAGATGTGTTGTTTGTTTTATAATTGATATATTTATAACTGTTAGTGGTGGGCGGTACTGCGAATATCGAACTAATGCTATCATTGCGCATGTAAGTGAGAAAGGACAGCATATAATTTCAGTGTAGTTTTATTAGTTACCCTTTCTTTTGAATATTAAAGTATATTTATTTCAAACTCAATGTTTACCGATAATTCGATAAAAGGCCGTTTAGTTTTAAGAACATTTTAAAACGATGTGCGAAGCGTTTCTGGTTGAATTTTACATTAAATTGAAGCTTATATTACGTATAATAACATACCTAGCATATATCTGTTAGGGAAATTGATAATTTTGTTATTAAAAGTGATATTTTGGGGGGATTTTTCAATTTTAAAACTATTCTTAAAATTATCGTGTTACCATGACAACTACTTTCCCAATTCTTCATATTCACAAAACATAATGTTTTGTCAGTAAGGCGAGGGTTTCTGCATGCATGTATTTTCTAGTTGTATACATGATAATGACCAGTGTTTGGATACACTTTTTACTGCATTTTGAAAAACTGGCAATACTTATAATCTATTTAGTTATCGATTTATACAGGACTGGCATTTTGCTTCAGAATAACATCAAAATAGTGAAAATTAAACAAGAAAACAAGGTAAAGATCAAAGAAGAAGCAGAACAAAAGGTAAATAGCAAAGAAGAACAAACATTAACATTTGTTTTATTAAGAACAATTGCCGTTAGAAATATAGATTATTCTGTCTCAATAGGGGAATGGAATTCAAGGTTTCTGTAATATTTTTTGAAGGTGGTGTACATTTGTATGATTGGTTAGCTAACAAAAATTGCCGTGAAAAAATAGGATGCGGTGAATGGAATTTCCTTCCTCCAAGCAATTTTGCCCAGTGGGAAAGCGGGGTTCAGAAAATATGAAAATTTCTGACTGGGAGTGATTTTGATTCCTGGTTTAGATATTCCATATTGCTTACAGCCTAATATTTAAAAACTGAAACATATATTTTGAAATATCTTCGGGAAAAATCTTTAGTAGCAGCTGCAGGCGTCATCCTAAGAAAAAATTAGAACTGCCCATTTCAACAAGGATAACAAACTGTGAGGGAGCTGTGAGGCTTGAGCTCATGACGTATTGCAGGGATGAATATCTATAGGGGTCCGTAAAAGTTCTGCGAGAAGGCTTATTTTCATCTTGTTTTGGCCTTAAATCTCTCGGTAATAATGCTTAATTTATATCTAATATATAATTTTTACAACTACCCATTTTACATTTTACATACCCCTGAGCAGCTGTATTAGCCGCTGTATATAAAATCAACAAACCTGAAAACACTCAAGTGAAAATACTACGGGCAGAGTTTAAATCAGACAAAACGGGTTCAGTACTTCAACAGCTAATTTGCAACGGCGCATGAACAACGCGATTAAGTAAAGTAATTAAGTAATTATCGTGTTAATTAAATGACGACTGAAAATGAAAAGCAATAGGCCCTTTCAAGGTTTATTCCGCCATATTGCCGGGGGTGCAAAACATTGGGGCGAGCGCGCGGCCAGTCATGGTTTCCCATACAAATTACTAGTGAGTGAGCGATAATTTTGTATGGACATTTTATTGATTTTCTCATGCTATATTAAAAGAGAGTCCAAATTCTTGTATTCTGGCTGATCTGTGCGTATTTTGAAACTACTGGTAAAGATTTCAATGGAATCTGATTGGGGGAAATCCGTGAATATGCTGATTTCTTCGACACCTTTCGGCGAGCTGTTTACAGTGGATTCACGACAACGAAACGCCGAAAACAGGGCTTTTACGTCTGTGTTTGTTTAAACAAAACAACATTACAAAAGAATCATGTTTAAAAACAATACAACAAAGCCGTCGGGAAAGAAGAAAGACGTCCAGGTGCGAGAATGTAACCTGATACCAATGTCAATCTCACCTTTGATTATATGACATACTATTAGTAATTATTAGATATAAGAGATAAATTCTAAAAGTAGGCGAATCCAAAGGGTATATAATATTGAGAGATATTGAGAGTTTCAGTTGTTCTCATTGGCAGTACTACCCCCATAGCCAACTGAGAGCAAAACACAAGTAGAAGGAACAGTATCTACAATGCAGTTCAATAATCTTAAAAACCTGCCTGAAGTATTTGATAAATGTTTGTGACTATCAATCAAATTCATCAAAATAGCTCAAGAAACTCATCAAAACTTCACAAGTGGTATAAAAGAACAAATTATGTAAAACATATTCTCTCTAATAATGGAGTTGATGTATGGAACTCACTAGAATAAAAAATAAAGACATAAACTCTCAATACATCTTCAAAAAACAAATTCAGCAGCATTTTTTGATGAAAACATTCTATTTGCATATTATTCTATTTGCATATTATTGTTCCTCTATTACTCTGAAAATGCTCTCTCTGATTTGACTGTAAAATAAAATAAAATATTATAAATCTAACAGTTAACTATAAACCTTTACTAGGGGCCTAAAGCAAAAAGCCTAACAAAGTATCTAATAGGTCTTTAGCCCAAATTAATATAAGGAAAAATATGTAAATATTGTCTATGGAACTGTACATAGGGGAGAAAAATTAAAACTAAGTCAATAAATAATAAAGAAACTCTTTCATTGGTAATATTTCTGTCCTCAGGTTTTCTGGGGTCAAATTCTTCCCTCACTGTTTAATTGCAGCCAGAATTTTGGTCTAAATATTAAATTTTTAACCTTGCATGCTTGGATTTACTTCTTTTCAAGTTTCTTTGTTCTATCCTTGGGGAACACTGATACAGGCACACAGGCAGGGGAAATATATTGCTTGTTGACATGTTGTAAGCATAATTTATTTAATACATTGAAGACTGCAAGTACATGATTACATGCTCAACTGTTCCAGCTGTTCAAGGACACACATCCACACTTTTATATGTGAGTCATCCTTTGTGATGGACATACTGAATTTACAAAAAAATGTCATGGTCTTGTCAATGGGGCATTTAGCGACATGAATTATATCAACAAATCCGCTCATCCAATATGAGTAGGCCCTCTCATCTTTGTATTTGCCAATATATTCAACATCCACTGCCTTTACTCATAGAATGTATAGCATTCCATCATCAAGATGTGGCCATGTTTTTGAATGTCATCTTTCCAATATTCATCGCACAGAGTGCTAGCCTCGCACTTAATAATATCATTAGTTTGTAGCCATTGTTGGTATTCCTTCTTAATTAATCTATCAAAAATTTGTTCCTTGTAAATTTCTTTGAAGCACCCAATTCATATGCTTTAATAAATGCTCTTGCCACAAGTTCAACCTTTTTCCTACTCTGTCAACCCACAGCCCAACGAAATCCTCGTAATATAATCCATTTGCAATATAATCCTCCTATGAGAACATAAGATATAAACAACTCAAACTCAATATCTCTGAATATATACCCTTTGGATTCGATATTAAAGGTGAGATTGACATTGGTATCAGGTTACACTCTCGCACCTGGACGTCTTTCTTCTTTCCCGACGGCTTTGTTGTATTGTTTTTAAACATGATTCTTTTGTAATGTTGTTTTGTTTAAACAAACAGAGACGAAAAAGCCCTGTTTTCGGCGTTTCGTTGTCGTGAACCCACTGTAAATAGCTCGCCAAAAGGTGTCGAAGAAATCAGCATATTCACGGATTTTCCCCAATCAGATTCCATTGAAATCTTTACCAGTAGTTTGAAAATACACACAGATCAGCCAGAATATAAAAATTTGGACTATCGTTTAATATAGCATAAGAAAATCAACAAAATGTCCACACAAAATTATCGCTCACTCATTAGTAAAATATATGGCAGCCATGGCTTGGCCGCGCGCTCGCCCCAATGTTTTGCACCCCCGGCAATATGGCGGAATAAACCTTGAAAGGGCCTATTCTAAAGAATATTCTCGCTTGCCGTCAGGATTATCCAACGTGCAAAAAATATAGGGGGGTGAGGGCTCAGCCCCCCAAAGTCAACAATTTTTCCAGTCAGATGTGTACGTTAAACAGCCGTTTAAGCTATTTTTTGAAATTTAATTTTTATCATGTTTCGCTAGCTATTCTGGTTTAAATTTTAACCTTTTTTCTTAAATTAAATAGGATAATTAAGCAAACTTTGCCTTTTTTTCTTAACTTAAACAGGGTAATTTAGCGAACTTTGATACAGCTTCATTGAGAAGGAAAGCAGTGTATGTTTTATGCAATAAATTAAAGCAACAAAATTCATAAACATTAAACATGCAAAGCAAACTTGCCTTATATTCCACGATTTTCCACAGTAAATCAATTCTTCTTATTTCTTCAAACAAAATTTGCTTCAACGCTTATTGTGTGAAACGTGCTTTTCCAAATATATGCTTTTGAAAATTGAAATCTTGTTTATCCCACTCCTGGCAAACAGCCATATTTTTGAGATGAGGGAGGATGAGCACCCGCGGTTGATGACCCACGCCCCCGATCATTGATGAACTTTAGACTTCGCTAATGCCTCCCTTTAGACTTCGCTAATGCTTCCCTTTTGCCCGTGTAAATAGCCGGGCGGAATTAGTACCCTCACCCCGGTCTAACGCCCGGAACGGCGCTCTGCGCCGTTGGCTCCGGGACAATCGTGTATGTGCCGCGCAAACGCGGCTTAAGTTAAGGTAACAAATTATTTGAATTAGTCATGGCTTCATAACTGCATGCTTGTGCTAAAAGCAAATTTACATGTCGTGGTTTTACGGTTCGCGATTTTTTTATTGGACTATGATTATTATATGATAGCCAGATTGGAGCCATTACTCTTCTCCGCTTTGAGAAACTAAGCCAGCGTCTTAAGTTTAGTCAACTTAACGCTTATAATTAATCATTATAATTAGTCGTTCACATTCTTGAGAAGCTTTAGACTATTGTGATTGTCTTCACAACAATAGACAAAACAATGTCTTTCTTGTCGTTTGCGTTTGCTGATAGATTTGCTGAATATTAATGATATGTATATGTTATTTGCTGCGAGGACGACGAGAACAAAGAGGAAGAAGAGAAAGGAGAAAGAGGAAGAAGAGGAAGGAAGAAGAGGAAGGAAGAAGAGGAAGGAAGAAGACGAAGGAAGAAGACGAAGGAAGAAGACGAAGGAAGAAGAGGAAGGAAGAAGAGGAAGGAGGAAGAGGAAGAGGAAGAGGACTAGGACGAGGACGAGGACGAGGAGGACGAGGAGGACGAGGACGACGAGGACGACGAGGACGACGAGGACGACG